TTTCGTTAGCGTTAAAACCTTTAAAGCTCATTCTATCAGTGATGTTTCATTGTTTATAGAAAAGAAAATTTATTAAAATTTATTAACAGACATCGAACAGATCCTCGTTTTTCTCTACTTCCTTAACAAAGGCAGGACCAAGATGATGGGGTGTGTGAGGTGGGGAGTGAACACTCTGTAAGCCTTTCCGGGTGCTAACCCGCTCCGCGCCATACCATGGACGTACTTCGTTTTCGCTGTCTCTCAGCTAGCTCCATCCATCACTTGTCTCCAGCAATCACCCGTCAACGTTATTGATCTGGAGAGCTCAAATCGGCAACGAACCCATGTAAACATTGTTAAGATTTTAATTTTTCTGTTTCCGTTGTTAAAGCGCTTTCCCTGGTGAATTACATGTTTGTGTACCTTTCCAGGCTCTGGAGAAGGCGATACTACCGAAACGTCAGCTACCGAGGTTGTATGTGTTATATTTGTGAGGAAGTAAAAGTACATATGAACGACGAAGCTGTGACGGTCGCGACAACTTTCATTGGTAGAATATTTTCAACGAGACATCAAGAGGTCAAGAACTCTGCGCGTCGTTCTCTACATGCCTTAGCTCCTACAATACACGTAGACGCTTTTGTTTTTATGTTGCTTCACCGTGGAAAAAGTTCTAAAGACGGATCGGTTTAAGTGTCCTAAGTTCATCCACGGCGTTTTCAACGAGAAACGAAATAATTGCGCCTTATATGGAGCATGCAACAATTTTTGAGCTTCACTTTTAAGAGTGCTGATCCTCGAAAACTCGCTGAAGTGCTTTCGAAAAATGTACGTCAATAAAGCATGGTTTTTTTTAAGGGCATTGTGAAACTTAAAGCTGGCTTAAAAATCATCGGGTGATCAATCCCGTTGACAGGTAATTGCTTGCGGCAAAAAGTTCGATAGAGCCAGCTGAGAGACAGGCAAAACGAAGGACTCGGATGGTGCGGTGGTGAAGTGCGCTGCTCCCCGGTAAGCACGACGGTGCGAGTTCGTTTTTCACCGTATACACCTGCGGTCCGGAGTTTTGCAAATATCTCAGCATTATATAAAAGTCCATAGTGCGAAAAAAGTTGGCAGAAAAAGATGGTTCGCCTGCAAAAAGCTTGAGATGGTGGAACGCTTGCTACAGATTTAAATTTTCTCCTACGAATGCTGCATACCAGGCACCTTCACGTTCCAAAGGGTTCAATAAATGATGCAATGCTGCAAGGGGGAATACGTTACCATCTATTTGTGTGTATAAGAAGGAAATGGAGGACGAATGTGCTAAAGGAATACTTTAAAGTGCTTTATGAATTTCGGAATTTCACGCTAAATATTTGGCCCGTCACAACCTATGAATTGTATGGTAAAACCAACATGTGAAATAGAATGTTGGAATAAGTGGGTTCCACGGGTATTCAATTTTTCCAGAAAGGCAAAGTGCTCTATTGAAAACTACAAAAAGGCAACACAAAATTAAAATTATCTGAAAGTCCTTTCTTTAACGCTAAGCAAATCAAATACGTTTGATTTATTAGTTAGTGAAGTATCATGCCATTGTCTTCTTTTTGTCAAATATAAGATCCATCTTTTTTGAGAAAACCATAAACCGATTAGAGGCGAGGAAAGAGTGAAAGAGTGAAAGAAAGAGTGCGTCCAAAAACTAAACACTGTTTGAGAAGAACAGAAAACTTTTGGGACTTATGCCAAAAATCGGAATGGAAAAAATCATGACTTTTCTATTATCACTTTCTAAACCACCAGATTTCAAATTTTCCTAGACCAGGAAAAGGTTGTATCCAGTTTAAGCTTACACTTGAACTAATAAACATGAGCACGCAACCGTAGAACAAAAAGAAAGGCTTCAAGAAATTGCAACGCGGTTCTGCAGAAGAAATCTCAGTGATGAAGGCAAGCGCACAGTCTTACCGAATTTAAAGTTGGATGAATGACAGGAGCGCGGAGAGTGATGGCTACTACAGCGACTTGAACTCCACAAATCACAGCATCAGCAGCGGGACCAAAGAAGATGAGATAAGAACCCACAGACATTGGGATCGTCGAATAACTTGCAGATTAAAGAAAATACCGCGAAAAGTTTCACAAAGTAGTCACAGTAGTTATATTGGAAGATTCTGCCGTGCTTTAAAAAAAAGGGGTAGGATAGATTGCTGCCACCATTCATTATATCTTTCTAGAAAACCTTAAAATATAGGACAACAATGCGCATAATCTTACCAGCACCGTATGCAAATTCAACACTAGAAGGACAAAACCCAGAAATATGTAGAAGACGAAGAAATGATCGTGAAACGGACACTCGTATTTGCACATGCGATTTCCCCAAATGGAAAGCTTGGTCGTTTGTGTTCTCGTTTATGCGCATTCATTCTATGACTCAGTTCGGCCAAAAGCCTGCAGTCGAGTACGGCAGTCTACAAGTCAGCATACTCAATGCCCACGTTCGGAGTTCAGCAAGCTATACATGTGTAATAAGCGCTAAACGCAGTAAAATAAACGGGCCTCATTCCTCTGACTTTGAAAGGTCTTTCGTTACGACTGCCCAGAATAGGTCGGGTAAGGATACGCTGCAAAAATCTCAGGACCATTCTAAGCTGAGAAAATCGCAAAAGAATAAGATGACGATCTGCATCTTCAATGCAAGCACACTTGTATCTCAGTCCTCTATAGAAGAGTTGATCGAGCAATTAAGAAAGATGAGGTACAACGTCATCGGACCGGCCAAGACGCTACGACGCCACCCATTCAATGACGCCTGTCACACAGTAGAAGAAGTGTCCCTCAGAACAGGCGAAAATAGAGGAGTCGGCACTCTCGTGTACACGAGCTTGCCCGTGAACATCGGTTTATTCGGACAATTAACAGCCCGAATCGGACGCTCTCGATTGAAGAGATGTGGATCAATACCGGCTCCGACAATCTTCATCGCTTAAGCGCTGCCATCAAACTATGACGAAGAAACTGTCGAAGCGTTCAAGATGGACTTGGAGAAGTTCTTCGGAAAAGTCCACACATTTTTTAAGGCTATCACTAAAGATTTTAATACTAAGATCTCGCTAAGAAAAGTATCCAAAAAGCGTAACATAGAGGTCCACGAATTAGAATGGATCGTGCCGAATGAGCGGCCACCAGAGTTTATCATGACGACCTAGGCCATTCATGGTGACTTGCAATTGGAGAAGCCTTACTCTCAAGACTGGACGTGGGAGCCTCCCAATGGAGAGTACCATAACGGAATAGACCACATTGTAGTAAATTGAAAGTTTGCATTGTTGATGCTGCTACTGCCCCGAAATTCTATACGGGATCACGGAACACGCCACTTTCGTGCAAGATTTCATTTTTCGCTCAATGGAGAAAAAGCCGCTAAATTTAAAAACAATTACAAAAAAAGTTACAAAACCATCATGAACTGAGATTTATTTAAATCACTACTCGGATCGTTCAAGATCTTCAAGTTATCGCTATGAAAGCTGATGAATGACTTCTGTCTCTAGAAAAACTCGAGATGAAGCGCCAGAGTAAAATCGCACGAGCCTTAAGCAACCGCCAACTCACGTCCGAACTCTCGAAACAACGTAGACAGGCGAGAAAAGATCCAAAATGAGAAGAGCGAAGCTTGGGTCGAAGCTGCCGAGGGTGGGAAAAGCACTCGCAAAGCCACCAAAGCTTCGTCAGTTACAAAACCAAGATGATTGCACCTCAACGCCCATACAGAACACTTGCAACATCCAATAAACAAAGGAGAAAATCACCCATGATTACGACTCGGATATCTTCAAAGGCAACGTGACTTGTGTAAAATAAAGGGGATTGGAAACGCCGTTCCAATGGTTCTCGCTCCCGAGATCCGAAATACAATTTTGTTGGTGATGAATTGAACAACGCCTGGCCAAGAGAAAATAAGATCTGAACAGATGAACTTTTCTCCAGTCCTCATAAACACACTGGCTCGGCTCCTCACACCTTACCTTTCTGAACACAAAGGCTCCAACAAGTAGAAGATCGGCCAGACCGTAAATTTTTTGACGAAGGATGACCACCACGGTAAAGGAAACTATGGTCCAAACCGCTTACTGTCCTCTTCTACAAACTCTCCACTTTCGTCATCCTAAACAGCATTAAAAGAACAGTGAACGAAAAACAGTCATGTGACCAAGCGGGGATTCAAAAAGTGTTCAGCACGATATACCACATTTACAGTATAACAAGACTAATCGAGTACAGAGAGTAGTACGAGAGTACAAAAGATCGCTCTGTCTTACTTTCATCGATCTAAAGGTGGTCGTCGGCTTAATTGAGGGAAAAGCAATCAAGGAAACCCTGAAGAGTTAGAGAGTCCTTAATTAGTACATAAGAGAGCGCGTGTGACGCAGTGGTCCGAGGCGCCTTGCGACAAATGCGTTAAATTGGTCCCTGCGCCCATGTCGTTAAGACATCCATTTCATAGGGTTTGCAAATTGATACCAGACCTAACCGGGAAAATAGCAGCACTCGTTCTATGCATCTGTAGTCCACGAAGAGTCTTTGTAAGGGCCAGATATGCATTCAATCACCTCCAACGATCCTTATTGAAGTCGAATGCATTGCGCATCCCTCAGAGGCTGACCAACGCCCAGAGCTTTATCCTTTATCATCTTTCTCTTAGTATAAACATTCTTCGCGAGATGTATAAACTTTTTACAATAGAGATGTCACCATTCGACAACGATATTAATATCAGAGTCAGAAGATGGGTTAGGCAAAGCAATACCATCTCCCCAAAAATATTTACCACGGTCCTCGAAGACGTCATGCGAACATTCAAATAGGACATCATAAGACTGAAAATTGATGGTCAAAAATTACGCCATCGATGCTTTGCTGATGACATTATTCTCATTCCGCCAAGCATTAGCCAGGCGGAACGAACGCTGCTGACTTTGATAATCACTTTGGAAAGGTTGGTCTTCGAATAAATCTCAAAAGAAACGATGTTTATGAGGGGCGAATTGGTTGCGTATGCCACATTGGCGCTCAGCCAAACTAATATCCCCAAATGCTTCAATTACGTCTATCTAGGTCGGAAAATCAACACGGTGAACGACTTAGCTCTGGAGCTTCGGAGCGATCATCTTCGCTTTGCTGATGACGTCGTCCTTATATCACGAAACATTAGCCAAGCGGAACGTATGCTTGACGACTTTGATAAAGCTTGTGGAAAGATTGGTATTCCAGTAAATCTCACCCAAACGATGTTAATGAAGAACGGATTGCCAGGACCGACTTTCTACTAACCTCGGCATTGATCAAGTGATTTTGTTCGCATCAAGAGACCACGGATTGGTTTCGCATGCTCCATTCACGCTCAAAGGAACGAATATTTTTGAATGCTCCAGTTATATCTATCTAGGTCAGGAAATCAATATGATGAACGACCTAGCTCCAAAGCTGAGCAGAAGGAAACGGGCGGCTTGTGGAGCTTTCGTGAGCATCGAGAATCTAATGAAGAAGACAAAGAAAAACGGCTCCTTGCCCGCCTTTTCGCCTCAGTGGTACTTTCTGCTTTCACGTATGCGTCTGAAACCTGGTCGTGATACTAGGACTATCCCGTTTCACGCGAGTAAGAGATGGGATCGGAGGCTCCGACCTTCATCAACGATCAAAAATCAAAGATGGGATTTTGTACGCCATACAGTCGAAGGTAAGGTGGGCTGGTCACGTAATGCGTATGAATGAAAAGCGATGGGCAAAAGGCGTTAGTGACTGGATTCTTCGAGATGTCAAACGTACTGCAGGAAAACCACGGACTCGACGGTCAGTGTTCTTTTGGAAAGCCTAGAAGAAACATATGATGTTCAACGAGTCCCTTGAACGAGCAGAACCTTCAGGGCTACTCTTGCAAGCTGTAACGCACTTTCGAATGCTGCGGCAGCTACTTATATAGCGGACTACAGTAACGTGTACTAACTAACTAAATATATGCCACTTGTACCCATTAGCGATCGAGAAAGAAAAGTCTCTTCTTCTTTATTTCTTTTACGTTCGCAATTCCTCAAATCTTCTAATAATCAAGATAAGTGTAAAGTATAGCCAAAAAGCCGGCCCGTCCTTATCACCCAGGAATTAGGTTTAGTACCAATCCTCGTCCACACGAATATGGGTGTCTTCGGAAAAGTGTTGATGACTCACAAGTTCATGCTCATGGCTCATGCACACCAAAGTATTGTCCATTTTCCTCATTAATAGAAAAGGCGTTCAATGTTGTTGTCTGTTTACTGTGTGCTGCCGCATACGATTATAAATCCGTGGTATTTTCCGTGGCACAGCGTTTTATCAGTTGATACTTAGCTAATTAATTATAGTTCTTCGATGTCCCGAACTAAATGAAAGTGCTCAACTATAGCTGTTCGTTATTGGTAGTGAAATGGATGTTGCACCAAAACGGAATGCATTGAGAGCATTAACAATATAATAGTAGTGGGCGGAATCAGTATATGGATAATACCATAAATAAAGCAGCGCTCCTGAGAACATAAAACTTTGGAAGGAGTGCAACAATAGCGGAAACACGACACGGGCAGACCGAATGAGACTTCGCTGAATTGCGCGGCCAATTTGAACGAATATTGTTCTGTTATACCTTTTCATTTGATGCCTACTATAATTTCGCGGCAGGGTACTAGGCGAAATACAACCACAACGTTGCTGACATATTTACAAAACTCTGGACCGCAGTTGTCTATGGTAGAGAACGAACGCGCTATTGTCCTTTCGGGAAGTAACGCGTTCACCACCACACAATGATGGACCTTTGTCTCGCCTGTCTCTCAGTTATTTCTATCGATATCGAATATTGTTCTGTTTATTAATGAATGGCTCAAACATCGTCGAATGGAAAGAAACAACGCTGACATACATTGCATAATAGAAACAACCTCCTGTCCATCAGTTGTCATGCATACGCATTACGGGTCCGACAAACCTTATCTTCGGCTGTTTGGCATACAGAACGGCGCCTTTGATTTTTGATCGCTGACGCAGGTCGGAGCCTCGGATCCCATTCTTTACTTGTCTGGAACGGGATACTCCTAGCATCGTCCTTTCGACTGCGCGTTCGATAACGCTGAGTGACCTATCATCCTGCTTACGCAGCGACCAGGGGTCCGACGCATAGGTTAGGGCAGGAAGTACCATTGAGTCGAAAAGGTGGGCGCGGAGGTGTTCTTTGTTCTCCTCACTACATCCGCGATGCTCTTGAAAGCTTCCTTCCGCTCAGCTCTGGAGCTAGGTCGTGTATCATATTGATTTCCCGACCTAGCTAGATATAACTGGAGCATTCAGAGGTACACATTCCGTTGAGCGTCAATGGAGCATACGAAACCAATCCGTTTTTCGTGAACATCGTTTTTGTAAGATTTAGTCGAAGACCAATTTTTCAACAAGCTTTATCAAGGTCGTCAAGCATACGTCAGCTTGGCAAATGTTTGGCGTTATAAGGACGATGTCAAGAGGAAAGCCAAGATGATGTAACTGCCGACCATCGGTTTTCATTGCCATATTATCTATTCCATTGTTCGCATGACGTCCTCGAGAGTGGCGGTGAATAATTTTGGCGCGATGGTATCGCTCTGCCTAACTCTTCTTTTGGCGTCAAAGTTGATATCGCTGTAGAATGGTGATATCTAGACTGTGAAATAATTGTACAGCTCACGAAAAATCTTCATGTACTGTGTAAATACTATTTGAGTATCGAGGGCTTCCATGACTGCTTTTATCTCAATTGAATCAAAGATCTTTTTAAATCGATGAAGGTGAGACAGCGCGTTTTTTTGTACTCTCTCAATACTTCAATAAGCCTTGTTATCGTGTGGATGTGGCACTAAATCATTTTCAAGGCGCTGCTTGCTGACGTGGCTGTTCTTGGTCCAGTGTTCTGTCTTGTCCAGTGGTCCCGATGAGTAGGAACCTTGCATTCAGATAGGTAACGTGTAAAGAGCTGAGCCAGTGTGCTTACGAAGACGTACGGGAGGTTCTTCAGGTTTTCTGGTCTTGACTTGACCAGACCTGGTGCTGTTGGATTTTTCACCGACGAAATGGCATGTCGGTTTTCGGAAAGGAGAACCGGTGGCACAGCATATCCATCCTTCTTTATTTCATATAACGGAAAGTGTACGTGTCAATCGAAGAGATCTGAGCAGTATTCGTAAACAATATTACCCATTGCCTTTTTGGACCCTGTAACTGTTCCGTCTGGGTGCGATCGTCTTGGTCTTCTAATTGGAGAAGTTTCGGTGGGTGTTTCTAATGGTTTTCACATCTTCTGATGTTTCGACCAAAAGTGCTGCTTTTTTCTCTTCAAAATGTTCCTTTGTCGCCTGTCTGCACTATTTTCCAATTTCGGTCGTCAGTTCGCGGTCCCTGCAGCTCATGCGTACCTGGTCGAGTGTTTCTGGAGTCGGACGTCTTTTGGTGACTCTCGAAATCTCAGCTTTCATAGCACTAATGTGAAGATGTTGAATGAGCCGATCGTGTTCTTCTCAAGAACGGCATCCTCCTAAAGCCGACTATCAAATTGAAAAGGTTCCAGTTTATTGCGGTTTTGGGACCTCGTTTTTTGAATTTGACAGTTTTTTCTCCTTTCCGCGAGCAATAGAATTTTGCACGAAAAAGGCGATGGTCCGGTCCTGTGTGTAATTTTCGAATAACAGCTACATCGGTAAGGGAAAACTTTCGGTTTACTATGATGTGGTTTGCTTCGTTGTGGTACACGGCACTTTGAGACTCCCACCCGCAGCATCGAGGGTGGTGGATCTGGAATTGCGACTTACCTCGGATGTTCTTGGTCGTCATGATAAACTCAGAGAGCCGCTCAGCCTGTGCGTTTAATTCTAATCCATAGGCACCAATGTGACGTTCTTTAGACGTTCTTCTTGGTACACTGTGGAGTGTGGGGCATTTTAAAAGTAAAACCGTCTACGTCTCTAGTCGAAGCTAAGGCAGGTTAAAAACGACGCGTAGAGTTCTTGACCTCTTGAAGTTTCGTTGGAAATATACTACCAATGGAAACTGTGACGACCGTCACAGGTTTATCGTTTATGTGTACTTCAGGTTTTCCTCAATGATAAATTATTTATCAAGAATAACGGAAACAATGGAAAGGTGGACAAGGACACTGTGTTTAACCCAACAATTCTGCGGCGCGCATATTTCCACTCATAAGGTGAATCGTCCCCCTAGATTGCGTCAACCTGTGATGATTTTTGGTGTAAAGGATAAATACAAGGACAATTCGTTCGGTGTTGATCAACTGCTTGCGGATAAGGTACGCTTTCTCTACATTTAAGCATCGGAGAGACGACTGAATGCGTATTTCAATCGTACAGTGAATGTCGAGGTTCTCTCAAATGTCTCATCAGTGTCTCTTCTTTTTTATTTAAGATCATTCTGATATTCCCCATATTTTTCCTCCATAAGGCCGCAGTGTTCGGAGGCGCCCTGCAAGACAGACGAAGAATCCATCTCAGCGCCCATGGCCCACTAAGCCATTCAACCCATTTAGGGTCGGCAAATTGGTACCAAACTTGTCTCGTAGGATGGCAGCACTCGCTGGATACATCTGTTGGCCACCGTTAGTTGCTGCAGAAACCAGATGTGGATTCAGTCACTTCCAAACGATGCTTATTGAAGTCCGATGCATGGCGCAACCCTCAGCCATTGATCAACGACGAGACCTTTTTTTAATAAAGAAAAAAAACTCATATGGGGCACACTAAATGGAAATACTATTATAAAAATGCGGCACTTTTTCTATTGAATTGGTATAACACATATAACAGATTTTGTTCAGGAAACAGTGCAAAAAGTATGTGTTAAGCACTTCATTAACCTAGAAGTTTTTCCAGAAAAGTCCATCTAATTGAACCACGCCAGTACTTTTGTGTTTATCGCTCTGGTATACAAGAGCAGATTGTGTTGTTGTGGCGGACAGGGTCCAAGGAAGTCTTGGTTGCATTCCCACCTTGAAACTCCGAAAAGTTCTAAATATTCAACACAGTCCGTAATTACTTCGCAGTCAACACTTTTCATTTAAAATTCATGCTTCCTGCATAAAATCTACACCTCTTGCACGTGGTTTACATTTTGTTAGTCATTGTTCTTTTAACAAGCCTGTTTCCGACATTGATGACAATCGTTCCAAGCATGCTTCCCATGTTTTGTGGCAAATGTGTAGCCGTGTTATCTTGAAATCTTTTACGACTACCAAGACAGTGCCTCCTCTCTCTAAGACTTCGAA